AGAATGATGAGACTCAAGAAGCAGAAGAACTTCTTTCTCAAGGAGACTACTCTATGCTCAAAAACGAGGGGACACTACTCTACTTTAGAACTGAAATTCTAAACAAAAAGGGCAAGCTGTCAAGTTAATTAGTGAGTAGCACCTCTACGGCCTGTAACAGTTAGAAATCCAGCATTTAAAGCCTTGGAGCCATGGAGATCAGCAAACATGTTGGAGAATTTTGGCTTGAAAAGAGGAAGGTGGATTTCACATTTCACACTTGACTTAGAGTTCCCACTGCTGGTGTTGGAGAATTCAACACTATGAGCAGTTGCTCAAGGGTAATGAATGGCCCAATATCATCTTGTTAACAGCGGAAATGAAAGCGCCTTGCCTGGTTATTGTGTGTGTAGAAGTTAAGTTTCCTGTGAATACATAAAAAGTCACATGCTAAAGTTGGCCTTTGACTCACATAATGTCATGTAATAAATCTTCAAGAGAAAGTGAAGCATGCACTTTTCCTACCCTTACCAGTGCCGCTGCTTGATTTCTTTTATGGTGTTTTTCTATTTTAAAAAATTGATTTGATTTTCATATTTTGCCTAAGCTTCAAAAGCAATGTCTTCTTGCTTGTGTAGAGGAATGCTATTCATTTTGGGTGTTGAGTTTTGTACTGGATGATATAGTGTGTCAACTTGAAAAGTTTTGAAATGTAATTGACTCAGCAGAGAGTCAGGATCCTTAGTTATAAACATCCTCATTCTGTACAAGAGGAGGTCATGGTCATGGACATTGTGTGAGTTCTGTACCCACAACCACAGAGTAGTTTGTTTATAGTATAAGGAGGGGAGAGAGGCTAGCTAGAAGTCACAGCTGCTGCCCTTCACTTTGCTCTTGTCTGTTTTCTGCTGCCATGACCTGCTATTCTACCTGGGAGCTGGCTAAGTATAGACTGAAACTTCCACAAACTATGAGCTAAATAAACCTTTATGTCCTTAATTTTGGATGTCAGTATTTTGTCGCAGCAACAAGTAAAAAGTAATGAGACAGAATTTGGTACCAGAGAAGTGGGATAATTTCTGTGACTACCTGACCATATTGTTCAAGAGCTTTTGGGAATGGCTTATGGGAAGAGACAGGAAAGATTTGTAGATGTTGCCTACTAGAGAAGAGCTGGAATGCCTTTGGCTCTTCTTTATGGGACATGCTGGTCAGAACTCAGAAGACCAGAATGCTGTTAGAAATCCTGCCTGTAAAGACCAGAATGAGGAGGTTTCTGCTGGGAAAAAGAACTGTAACTGGTTGTTGGACTCCAGATGATTTGTGTTATGGCTTGGCAGAAAGTTTGTATTTTCTCCTGCCAGGGACTTTGTTTGAGACTAAGATTAAGTGAAGTGGATTAGTTAATCTGACGAAGAAAATCCCAAGGCACTTGAATTTGGGGTAGTGGCATGGCTATTGTTAGGGGCTTTTAGTCAGATATATGTTGAGAGTCAAGAGCAAAGAGCCCAGCAGGATGATTTACAATGTGAGTTTGGCCAGAAAGGAAGCTCTGGGAAGGCTGTGGACTGCAAAGATAGAGCTGAGATCTCCATTTCCCAGGAGGAACAGGAGAGTAGAAAAGATGTCCTGAGGGCATCACAGTAGGCGGCAGGCTTGTGTCCTTTGCAGCCTCAGAATTGCAAGGGTGAGGGACTTTGCTTTGAGGAGAAAGACCCAGAGCCCCATTTTACAGAATGGAAGTGGCAGCCACACCAGGTTCCAGAATGGTGCCGGCAGATAATTTGTTCCTTGAAATCATGTTCGGAGTGCTCATCAATCCAGGCACTCAACCCTACAGTCAAGAGAGAAGAAAGCCTGGATGCTGCTCCTGCTGGCAGCAGGCCTTGGTATCATCCATGTGGTGGTGGCTTTAGACACATTCAGAATGCAGGAGTTCTGAGGTTAAGAAAGCTTTCACCTGGATTTTGGAAGACCTGGGAAGCCAGCAGTGTGCCCAAGAGGGCAGTGTGTAAAGCTGTGAGTGAGAAACCTATTCAATGGAAACCCCAGAAGTTTGAAAAAGCCAGGGTCCAGTATTGTCTGAGAAAATCTGCAAGGAGGGAGCAAAGCCTGCCCTAGAGAAAAGCCATGGGAGCTACCAGAAGTGCTATGGGGTGGATCCATGTAAGGTTTCTGGAGCTCACAACTCATTACAGATTGCTTCAAATGCCCAGACTAAAGTGCCTGCTTAGGCAGAGTGCAGAAGCCAGGGTTCAATCTCTGGGTGCCGTGCCAGCCCTGCCCCTGGGGTATGCTGAGACAGTGATTGAGACTGGGTGTGGTGGTGCACACGTGTAATTCCAGCACTTGGGAAGTTGAAAACAGAAGAATCACTACAAGTCTGATCTATATATTGAGACCCTGTAGACTATGTACTTAAACAAATAAACAAAAGATTGTTTCAGAAGTTTCACTACATGACTTAATCTTTGCTCTTGTGGGTTTTGGACTTGTTTTGGTCCCTTCTGTGTGTACCTTTTGGAATGGTGATGTTTATTTTGTGCCACTCAATGTTAGAAGTGTTTAACTTTTCATTTGTTCAGGGGCTCACAGTTAAGAGTTTGCCTTAGATTTTGGAAGAGACTTGGGACTTAGACTTTTCAGCAATGCTAAAACTGTTAGGACTTCAGCAACTCTTAGGGATGGACTAAAATGCCTTTTGCATAAAGCGGTGTGCATGTGTCTTTGGGATGTGGTGCCCAGGGGAAAATGTCATTGTTCTAACGTAATACAATGTACAAGTTGTAAAATATTAATGACCATGTTTATGTACCTGGAAACTAGTTTAAGGAAATGTCTGATTGCCAGATTGCCAAGGGGTGGATTGTATTGGTTGATACATTGTGTCAACTTGAGAAGTTTAAAATTTAATTAAGTTACTCAGCAAGGAGCCAGGAGTTTTAGTTGTAAACATCCTCATCCTGTGCAAGAGGAAAGCGTGGACATTGTGTGAGTTCTACAGCCCCAGCCCCAGGTAGCTTGTTTATGATGTAAAGGCTAGAAGCACAGCTGCTGCCCTTCACTATGCTCTTGGCTGTTTTCTGCTGCCATGACCTGCTGCCCTCTTCCATGTGCCACTCTGTCTGGGAGCCAGCGGAGTATAGATTGAAACCTCCACAAACTGTGAGCTAGATAAACCTTTCCTTCCTTCATTTTGGGTCTTGGGTATTTTGTCCCAGAAACAAAGCATTCAAATAAAACCATGTCAATTGTCAGAATGATGAGACTCAACAAATAGAATTTCTTTCTCAGTGACACTAGTCTATGCCCACAGAAGAGGGGACACTACTCTACTTTAGGACTGAAAACAGTGGAAAAAGAGGAAGCTGTCAAGTTAATTAGTGAATAGCACCTCTATCTCCTATAACAGCTAGAAATCCAGCATTTAAAGCCTTGGAGCCATGGAGATCAGCATACAAGTTGGAGAATTTTGGCTTGAAAAAAGGAAGGTGGATTTCACATTTCACACTTGACTTAGAGTTCCCACTGCTGGTGTTAGAGAATTCAACACTATGAGCAGTTGCTCAATGGTAATGAATGGCCCAGTATCGTCTTGTTAACAGCGGAAATGAAAGCGCCTTGCCTTGTTAGTGTGTGTGTGTGTGTGTGTGTGTGTGTGTGTATGTGTGTGTGTAGAAGTTAAGTTTCCTGTGAATACACAAAAAGTCACATGCTAAAATTGGCCTCTGACTCACATAATGTCATGTAATAAGTCTTCAAGAGAAAGTGAAGCATACACTTTTCCTACCCTCACCAGTGCCTCTGTTTGATCTCTCTTATAGTATTTTTCCATTAAAAAATTGATTTGATTTTTATATTTTGTCTAAATTTCAAAAGCAATGTTTTCTTGCTTAAGTAGAGGAATGCTATTGATTTTGCAGGCTGACTTTGTAACCTGCTATGCTGCTGAATGTGTTTATTAATTCTAGGAGGTTTTTGGTGAAGTTTTTTTGGGTCTTCCGTATAGAGTATAGTGTCATCTGCAAATAATGAGCTCAACTTCTTCCTTTCCAATCTTAATGCTTTATTTTTCTGTCTTGTCTCAGGGCTCCTGCTGGTGTTTCCAGGAGTATATTGAGTAGGAGTGGTGATAATAGACATTGTGTATCATCCTAATGTCTTATCTACTTTTTTATACTCTGCTTAAGAAAATTTTACAAATGAAAAGGAAAAAAAGGACAAGGAAAGGAGCAATGTCTTCCTTTCCCTCTCACTCTGTTCTCTGTTGCTTTTCTAACAGTTTTCTGGTCACAGGTTGTCACTGAGACCCCCCCCCCCACCTAAACCACTTCCAGACAAAAGTGCTTGTATATGCACAGGTGTGTTCCTGCAGGCACAGGTAGGAAGAATCGCTGGGCTTTCTGGGTCAGGGATGAGGGCCGCCAGTGCCCTCTGCGGTGTCCTAGTTCTGCAGAACTCTCAGACCTTTGCCCTGTTCATCCTTTCATGGATTCTGTGGTGACCAAGTTCTACCTGTGGCCACCAGTTCAGGAAATCCTGCTTTGTTGATTTACATTAATCTGGTTGAGACTAAACTGTTTAGGCAGGGTAAGTGTGCTTTGGGCTTAGCCTGCTTCTCTGCAGGGCATACTTTTTTCAGAGCATCTGTGGTGCACCAGGTTGACATTTCGATGACAAAGGTGCGTGCCAGCTGCTGTGGTCCTGCCTCACTGGAACGTGAAGCTGCTCCATACGCCTTTTCAGTTCTGCCCAGACCATCCATGCTGGGAATCTTTAATGTCTCCGTGAATGACAGCACGCTCTTACCCAAATCACAGGGATGTGTGGCTTTTGTGCTGAGCACAGTTCTCACTACGAGAGCCATGCAAAGGGGGAGGTAGAAGTATTAAGTGCCCTGATTTGACCATTAAACAAATTACCTGCCTGTATCCCATAATTGTGAACAATTAATTATATATGTTATAAAATAGCCTTATCATGAGGGGTTTACACCATGTTGAAGGCCATGGTGACATTACCTGGCAAAAACAGCTCTCCTTGCAGCTTGGCTCTGGCCTGTCGGGAAAAGCATCTCTTCTTCAGCCAGTCAGCCTCGAATTCGCTGTAGTGCTCGTGCGGCCACGTTATGTACACCTTGGAACACAAAACGTAGAGTTCACCCACCGGCGAAGTTCCCATCTGCGTGCTCCCCGTCCCCACCAGTGCTGTTTCTGGGCGTTTTCTAAGGTAACTAGGGATGCAGTTGTGCCCACTTCTCTTTTGCTTTCCTCCCAAGCCAAGTGGCACAGGCTGCTAAACTAGAACTGCGAAAAAGAATTGGGCTGAGCCTGAAGTTCCTGTCCTGTCCTCTGAACCAGTGGCCCCCAAACTTCCTGTGATGACTGAAGTTAGATGTCAGTTGAGATTCCTGCCAAGAGTATGGGTGTCCGGACGATCATGACAAGGAGAACATATAATAATGACAATGATCCTGAGTCACAATGAAAGTAATGGCATCGGCCCACCAAGTAGCTCAGCGGATTAAAGCGCCTGCGTCGGCAGACGCAGGGGCCGGGGGTTTGATCCCCGGGGCTGCCTTGCTGGCCCTGCCCCTGGGGCACGCTGAGGTAGTGATTGAGACTGGGCATGGTGGTGCGTGCCTGTAATCCCAGCCCTTGGGGGCTGTATACAGGCAGATCACTACGAGTCGAATCCACACAGTGAGACCCTATCCTGTATACCCTGTCCTAAATACACACACAAAAAAGTAGTGGCATCGTTCTGAGAGGTTACATGTAATAAGCAGCAGAAGCAGGGCTCTAGGGGGAAGGCAGCCCTGTGGGCAGCGAGACAGAGGCATAAGGTCCTTGGAGATGAGGGGCACGTGGGGTGCAGGGCGACCTTTCTGGTTATGTTTATCTCCTGATAAGAAGTCAGGTGAGCTTGGAAGAGGCAGCCAGGATGGTGGGCACATCTGGCTAGGTTCCCAGAACTGTGCTTTCAGGATAAACCTCAGACATCTGCCCACTGATCTGATTAAATATTAATCTGCACTATTTATTGTGTGGTCACTGCATCCCAGCAATGTTGATCAGCTCTATCATAAACATTTCTCCCGTCTCATCTTGTGGAGTTCCAATCCCTCTGAGCACACTTGGCCAGTATTCCTATTTTACAGATGGATAAATGCTGTTTTTGTTGTAGAAATGGTTGGATTTTGTTTTAAGGTTGCCCCTGCCTAAAGAGGCGATGAGCAGCACTGTAGAGTGTGTTAGATTTTATTAAAAATGTGGCAGCAGTATTGATAGCAGACACTTGCACTTAGTGAGCCTGATTAGTTTGCGCAGCGCACCACGCAGGCGGCTGTCCAGATGGCTACGTGCACGATCACGGGAAGAGACTGCTGTTTAAATCATGATAGGTCAGTAACTTTATTTAAGGACAGGGAGAGATCATTTGGGGGAAAATTACCTTTTTCCTGTCAAACGTCAAGCCTTTAATATTGATGTTCACATCAAGGGCTTCCAGGAGAAGCTTCCGGGCTTTCGCGGAATCCAGGTAGCAGTCAGAGCACTGGCAGTTGTCCCTGAGCCACACGGCCGGGTACAGGGACTCTCCTCCATCGTCCCAGACGACCTGCATCACATGAGCCCTGTCCAGGGTTTCGGCCTTCTGGATGATGCAGTCCATGGGTCTGCTCCTCAGAGGCGAGTTCCGCCAGCTCCCTGTGGGGACAAAGCCTTGTTATAAGGACAGGCGCATCCCAGCTTGACCTCTAGGAGCACAGGTGGCTCTGGTGGACTCTGGCCTCCGGTGTTTGTTTAGCAGTTTGAGCTGCAGTTTGGTTATCAACGCTGAGACCTTTGTTCTGCTGAGAGCGTTTTCCCTGTTGTCAACAGAAACACTGTTACTGAAAGTCTGTAAGAAATATACCCAGGCAGGATCCACATGAAAAGAATGCTTGGGTATTCTCAGAAATTTTAGCAAAGAGCTCAGAACCCATGACTTGTGTGCTTTTGTAATTGTGTTCATTATCGCTTCTTGGCCTTTTGGCTAAGATCAAGTGTATAATTGTGTTTATACAAAGGCTCCATAAATAGGGAAGTGTGACAACCATAACTCTCCTATTTTAATTGGTGCCATTTGCCTATGGCTTTTGAAATGGAAATGGTTCCATGGTACTAAGCTAGCAGATGAATGGAAGAGGAGTGTGATCTATTTATTTTGAGGCCTCTGTAACTCATGGCATGGTGCTACTTCTGCTGTATCATTTACTTTTTTATTTCCACAGTACACATTTTATTAATGAAATATATAAAGATCTAGTTTCTGCAAGGAGCTTGTTTTGTTTGTTTTCTGAGATTCTTCTGCCCTAATACCCATCAGCTGAGTGTGAACGTGCTTTGATATTTTTTAATTTTACCCTGAGTTTCTTTTGTGGGGAAGAGGGGAAACTATGGCATGAACTCAGGGCCTTCACACTAAGTTATACCCTGATCCTTCTATATTGTTTATTCCTGAAACAGGGTCTACGAAGTTGCTAAATTACCCAGGCAGGGGTCAAACTCATGTTCCTCTTGCCTTGGCTTCTCAGAGTGCAGGAGTTACAGTTGTGCCCCACCTAGCACTGCAGCAGGCATCTGGAGCTTCCCTGACAAGGAAGAAAAAATTTCTCATGCTTTTCTTGAACTTGTAGGAAGACTATACAACACTAGAATCCCTTTCAAGATACCTTACACAACATTAAAGTCAATGAACTTGACGATAATCGTTCTATGCATGCTTCCCTAAATCACTGCCTTGGATGGGCTCGCCAGGTGGAGCAATCGTGACAGGAAGGATTTCTTTTTCTCTCTAACTTCAACTTCTCTAGAAGTCACTAAGGACAAAATGGGAGAAATATATCTCACGGGGGTGATGTGAATTCCTGTTTGGGATCTTTCATCCTAACACTACATACATGACAAGGGAAAACTACATACATGACAAGAGAAAACTACTAGTTAACAGTTATTAAAATATACTTTCATCAAAACCTCAGTATTTAGCTGATGAACTTGAGTGAGGAGTTGGAGGGAAGACCCCTTCCTCCTCCTGTGATGGGTAGGACATGTGGTTTTCGGGGTGGGAGCAGGCGTAGGTTGGCAATTTTCTTATACTGTATACAGGGACAAAAAGAAGTGTGATAAACTTTTATCTGTGTCAAGCTTTGCCAAATGTTTTCATCTGGTAGCACATCTTTTAGGGCTTGTAACATACACACAGTTTTTGCTTCATGTTCCTGTCTTATTTTCGAATTCTGTAAGGCTGTCACAGCTCTCTTCAGATTATGGAATGTGCAAAGCCAGTCTGGGGGCCACATCTGGCCCAGAAGTAGTAGTTTCCTGTCCTTGATGTGGTTGTCCAATCCATGCTTTCACTATACTAAGTCACACACTTGAAGAAAGCAGGAAAGAGTTCTCCTTTTTTCCTCATTCAAAAGTTAATCTTAGTGTGAAATATGATAAACGTATCCTTTGTGCATGTTTCACTGTATGATACACACGACCATTCAGTTCTGACCTTAAGGGAAAATGAGATGGTTTACAAGGTTAAAAACAGGCTAGGGAAACCCTGTTTTGATATTGGCATGAGAGTCTTGGGACACCTCCTTAGAGAAAGTGACCACTGGAGAAACTGTTGTAGAGTCTCTGCTCAACACTCCTTCTCCAGTAACGTAACGTGCTTCTTCAGAGCATGCAGCCCATGGATACAGTAATGTCTCACTTCATAAGGGCAATGAACCCTAGTGACATTTCTTCTCCAGAATCACAGAACAAACTGAGTTTGTGGTTCAGAATCCGAGGCACTTGTGTACGTACATGTTGCCATCTCCCCTGCAGCTGAGGTCAGAATGTGATGCAGCAACACAGGAAATATGTGTGGAAGTTACTGGGCAGAGAAATTTTAAGAGAGGGTAGATTTAGCTGTCAGTCCTGTTTCCCTTACTCCTCCCACTGACTCCTTCCAGGAAGGTGGATGTGGCGCTGACAGTGGAGCTGTCATTTTGCAATCACAAAGCAAAACGAAATCTAAAATCTGAAAGGAGTGAGGGTTCTGTGTGGCTCTACAAAGTCACATGACCAGAAATGGATGATCATATCTAGACTTCTACAATGAGAAAATAAACTCCTTACTTATTTAAAACCTAAATTTGACAGATCTGTACCAAAAGAATTGTTCTTCCAGTCTAATAGAGAAATGCAGCCTGGAATGCAATTGTTTGCATAGGCACTCAGACAGGGATGAAGGTATGTTTAGGAGGAGCACAGCCTTGCCACATTCTCTTTCTAGCTTCTATCCACTTCAGAATACTGTATCTTAGCCAACTACAAGACTCCAACAGTAAGTGCACCTATGTACAGGGCCTCTAGCCCACGGAGATGCTCTGCACGGGGTGAATGAAGCCAGTGTGTAAAGAGTTAAAGAGGCATTTACCTCTTCACATGCATCAATGACAAGACAAGCACACCAGGATTGTGAACAATAAAGAGATACCATCACAGTAAGGCACCAGCTATTGACTGCAAATGAATGGAGATGTACAAACTAACTGCAGCAGAACTGAACTCAATTACATTCCAGGCAACTCCAAGAGAATGCACAGGTAGAGGTAAAGATTTCAGGGAAGTTATGAATACAATGAGAGATTCAGTGAAGAGATAGGAACCACACATAGAACTGAAGAGAAATTCCAGAGCTGAGGAACACGTAACTGTCCTGAACATTCCCATAGGCGGTTCCAAAAGCAGGCATGATCAAACCAAAGGAAGAGTCTGTGAACTTGGGGTGGCTCATTTGAAATAACAAGTCAGTGGAAGAAAAAGAATAAAGAGGAGAAGAGTGCAGAAATCCTATGTACCATATGGGTCTCTGCTGTGTTACAGTTGAAGCTGAAGGAAACGAAGGGAAAACTGGATTAATGTAGCTTCAGAGATCTCACTGAGATTAGTATCTCTCTATGTGAGCCCTGAGCCATGGAAAACTCCCACATTTATTTGGGCTAAAGACAGACTAAGGCATCTGCATAACTATTTTTGTGAACACAAACTTAGAGTTAGGTAGAGAGTTAAAGAGGCATTTACCTCTTCCAGGGCATCAGTGACAAGACAAGCACACCACTTCCTAACTCTAAGTTTACATAATGCTAGTGGAGAACATCCCAAGCAAGGGGTCAAAGAACAGACCGGGCACCAGCACGAAAAGCCATTGTCTGCCGCACTGAATCCCAGATTGCTGGAAATTACAAGAGCGACAGCAGCTCTCCTCGGGCTTTGTTCATTGCTCCTTGCTCCCTCGGATGTCAGCTTTCTGGCTCATATTGCTATATTTCCATAGATCTCCACTGAGAGAGCCACAACCAGCGTTACTGGAATTCAAAAGGAGAAGAGAAAGCTTCTCTAAAGACATAATGACAGAAAATAATGGAGAGGGAAACAAATGCTTAAATCTCTGGAGACCAAAAAAACCTTAGCTAAGTTAAACACAGGAGATCTGGCCTCAAAAACCTTATAACCAAACTGTGAAAGTTAAAAGCAGCATGAGAAGCCGCTCCTCACATATAAGGGAACCTCTGACCAGCTGCCGGTGGATTTCTCAGCAGCATTCTGATACCCTACAGTGCTATCTTTAGTGTGGAGTGAAACCGCAGCCAAGAATATTTTGTCTGAATAGTTGCTGCCCTTCAGAAATGAAGGAGAGATTAAAACTTTCCTAGATAAAGAAAAACCATATGAATTTAGTGTCATTTGATCTGCTTACAAGACATGCTAAAGAGAGCTCTCCAAGCTCAAGCTAAAGGACATCCAAAACATGAAAACATGTGAAAGTCATTGGGAATGTAACAATATAATCAAGCTCAAAATTCTCTGATATAACAGTGGTGGTGTGCAAATCCTCTAAGCTCTAGTGTAAGAGTTAAAAGACATAAATAATGAAAATTGCTACAATTATAATAACTTATTAGTAATATAAGTCAGTGTGAAGGTCCTAGGTCTAATCCATAACACTTGAAATAGACAGACAAATCACAAAATGTAGAGGCAGGAAAAACTAAAATGCAGATTTTTATATGTGGCTGGAATGAATTTAGTGGTTTGAAATAGATTGCAATAACTATGAGATGTTTTATGTGAACACTATGATAATCACTATTTATCCATGAAAATTTTTGTAGCAAATTTGCTGTAGAAGGACATAAAGACATGGCATGACAAAAAATGATCAAATCACAAAAGATTTTAGCAAGTGAAATATAAAACAGAAACAACAAAATGGAAAAAAGAAATCTTTGACCTAGAAGTAATTATTTCACATGAAAATCAATTAAAATCTTCCAATGAAAAGTCTGAGTTGAGGGCTGGGGAGATAGCTCAGTAGAATAAGCGCTTGCCTACAATCACAGGTCCTGAGTTCAACCCCCCTGCCCCCACAAAAATGAATTAGTTTAGTGAGTGAAAAAGAAGATTCAAGCTAGAAGAACCTCATTTAGCTTTAAGACCACACATTGGCTGAAAGTAAAGGAAGATAAAGTAAAAAAAAAGTTATGCAAACAGTAACCCAAGGAGAGCAGGGGTGAATGTGTGTATCAGACAAAGAGATTTGCAGCTAAAAACTATCACAGGGAACAGGACAGTGAAGTTCATTATGTACTGAGGCGTTAAATTCATGAAGAGCACTAGCCATGGTAGCCACGTGCGGATTTACACGTGTACACATATAGGTTCTGTATGAGGCTGAATGACTGAAACCCGGAGAATAGAAAGCCCATAGAGAATAATATGGAGTGTGGAAACCGACTAAAAATTTCTAGCCTAGAATCTAATGTCCCTGTTGGTGAAGTCTATCAATCATTTATTTATTTTTAAATTTTTAAAAATTATTTATTTATGTATTTGGTACAGGGTCTTGTTACAGAGCTCAGACCCAGTGATCCTCCTGCCTCAGCCTCTCCAGCACTGGGATTACAGGCGGGCGCCACCGCACCGGGTTTTGTGTGCCCCGTGTTCCTGGAGCTGCCTGGCATGTGGACTGGAGAGCGAATGGGGTCCTTGCGCTTGCCAGCCAGGCGCTTAGACTGCCGAGCTATCTCCCCAGCTCCGTCTATCAAACATCTAAACAAGAATGAGAACATTTTCCTCTTAAACCCTTTGAAAAAAATTTAAGAAGATGGAATACTTCCAAACTCAACTTGAGGTTAGAACCTGAGTCTCACTAGGACAATAAAGGAACGCACATATGCAGAGTGACATCTCTGGTACACATAGGTGTGCAAATCCCAGTGAAATGCTAGAAATATGAATGCAGAACGTATTGAAAGGATTATGTGCCTTCATCAAGGGAGGCCTGTTCCTGCGGTGCAGGGATTACACGTAAATGTGATCAACTGCACTAGCAGGAAGGAGGAGTCATCCTAATCACAACACACGCAGAAGAAAGCACCTGGCCAGAGTCGACGCCCTTTCACTGTAACACTTCTTACATCAGCACGGGCATAAATAGAATGCACTTCAACACAAAGAAGGCCATTGCATTGGTCAGACTTTTAGCTACAACTTAACCTGTGGTTCCTTTGGACAAAATGTCCAAATTTCAGCTCCAAAGTCTCACCATTAATCTGGCTAAAAACTACTAATGATATTCATGAACAATAGTCTTCACTGAAATGTCCTTTGCCAGATCATTTGTAGCCCTTAACTTAATGATGAAATTTCAAGACATGGAAAAATGTCAGCAAGTCTTAATAGACTGACTGAGTAATTGCCAAAGTGCAACATGCGCGGATTGTAGTCCTATTCCCAACAAAGTCCCCATTCCCAGTGGAAGCCCATGAGCTGGAGTCTTACTGCTGGCCTTCCTGCCAGGATTCTGGATTTCTGAGAATTGCCTATTAGTCTCTGCTTATCATATTCTAGGGCTTCTTCAGCCTTCATGACAAAACATTTTCAGTGGCAAACTGGTTCCAAAGGCTGGTTCATGGACTTGAAGAATGAACATTGTTAAAATATTGGCAGAGAAAAAGTTATCTATGCCTGTAATGGAATTTCTCATGAGTCTAATGACACTTTTCAAAGAAACAAACCAACAAACCTCTGAAATTTGTTTAGAACCAAAACATTCCCTGATAACCAGAACAGTCAACCGAAAAGGAAGCCCTCACACCACCTGATTTTAACAGTATAAAGGAAGGGGGGTGGTTCTGACCTGCAATTCTATCACTCTGGGAGGCTGACGCAGGCAGATCACATGTTCAAACCCAGCCAGACAACTTAAGGACTGAGTGAGTTTTGTCTCAAAATAGAAAGACAAAAAAAAAAAAAAAAGAAGAAGAAGAAGAAAAGGAGACAGCTCAAAGGTGTGTAGTTCAATACCCAGTGGCACAAAAAGTAATCAGAATAGTGTGACAGTACATGAAAAGCAGACACATTCACTCATGGAATGCAAGAGTAAGACCAGAAGTAAGTGCTCGTATCTAAGATCACTTGGCCTCTGGTGAAGTTTCCAAGAACACTGAAGAAATGACAGGCTCATCCGCAGATGGTGTTTGGAAACTAGATAGCTATGTTCAGAAGAATGAAGCGGGGCCCTTCTCTCACACAACAAACAAAATAACTTCAAAATGAATTAAAGATATTAGTATAAAGCTTGAAAATGTAAAACCACTAGAAGAATAGGAAAGTTCTAGTGACACTGGTTTGGACAATGTTTTCTTTGTATCATAGTACTAAGGATCGAACCCAGGACCTTTGCACTGAGCTCTCTCCTCCACCCTTATTTATTTATTTGTTTGCTTGTTTTTTACATTTTGAGGCAGTGTCTTGTTAAGTCACTAAGCTTCTCAGGCTGGGCTTGAACTCCTAACCTTCCTGCCTCAGCCTCCAGAGTGCAGGGATTGCTGGTGCAGCCACCACGTGTGGTTCCTTGGTGATGATGGTATTTTGTTATGAACAGAAAAGCACAGGAACAAAACACATTGAGAGAAATAATTTGCAAATCATGTATCTGATAATATCTAAATATATATATAAGAAACTCAGTTTGTGCAATCAAAATGGATAAACGACTTGAATAGATACTTCTCAAAAGGAGATAAATGAGCAACCCACAGGTCTATGAAAAAATGCTCAATCATGACAAACCACTATAAAATAACACCTTACCCTTGCTAGCATGGCTGTTATAGAAAAACAAGAGATGTTTCTGTGAGGACGTGCTGGAAGTAATATAAACTAGTACAATAACCCATGGAAAGCAACGAGGAGATTTCCCAAATATTAATACTGAAAGTAGTATGCAGTCCAGCACCCTTACTACTGGATACTCCTGAATAGGCCTCCCAAGGGGATGTGGAGACAGCTGTGACCCCATGCTCGCAGTAGCCAAGATACAGACTGTGCCTTAAGTGTCCCCTGACGGAGGAATGGGGAGAGAAAATGGGGAACACATGTAGAGCACCACAGTACGCCAGCCAGGCCCACCGAAGAATGTCCCTCATGCGGGACAACCCATGAGTTCGGTGAGTCCGAAGGGCATCGCACTGAGTGAAGTGGACCAGGCACAGAGGCGCAAGTGCCGTGGGATCGCAGGTATGCACGGACCCCACAGAGGCAGAGCTCGTGAAGCAGAGCGAAGAGTGCTGGAGGTCAGCATTGGAGGGTGGGAGACGTGGGAGACAGGATGAGTAACTTCGGGGGCTCCAATGGTGCAGTGACTGTGATCAACACTGAGGCACGCTGCACGTTTCATACAGATACATTTCAAGTGCTCCCTCTATACTCAAAACTACAAAAATGTGCAGCGATAGACATTCATTAACCAGATTATGGTAATTCTTTCACAAAGTATGCACACAACCAAACATTATCCTGCATACCATAAATATGTATATTTGCATTTGTCAATTATAATTCACTAAGACTAAGGGAAACCACAGCTAATAGAGACTTGCATTGATTCTCCTGTTTTCAGCCTCCCGAGTGCTGGGACTGCAGGCAAGCGCCATCACCCCCGTCTCAATCGCCTTCTCAGCGTGCCCAGGGGGCGGGCCTGCTATGGCACACCAGGGGTCCAAGCCTGGCTGCTGCGCTGTCTAAGCAGGCACCTTCG